TCTTAATCAGGATATTAATAAGGAACTAGCAGTTTATGAAGCTTTTGGAATAATCCACCAATTTTTTAAAATTAAACACTATCTAAAGATTTGCATCGAAGCGTTTTTTTTTGATAGTGATTTTAATCACTGTCAGATATCATTATACTTGATCCAACTATGCCACGTCACCACTGTGCCGCGACCTCCCTGTGCTGGGGTTTTTTTAAAACTATATTTTTCAATTTTTAGTTTTTATGACATCGCTGTCACAGTCACGAAGTGTTTATTGTAAATTATGACTATCAATAGATATAATTTCTGTATTGCCAGTTAGTGAGTTTAAAAACTCACAACAATGTGTTTTATGACGATTGATAATAAAGGTTATATACCCTCGAATATAGTCATAAAAAAACAATTAGCTATCTGTATTTGTAATCCCTTATGTATTATACATGTATATTAACTCAAAAAAAAATTGAAGCGTTAAATGTTTATATCTAAAAATAAACAATAAAAATTTGTTTATATTTATATATAATATTGATGATACATACGCATGGACGGATACGAAAACAAAAATAAAATTATACAGGAATAGTGTTGTCGGTGTATGGTGAGCGGGTTGGGGTGAATGCGTTACGACAGTCTAGTCTCAAGGTCATAGACGACAGGATACCCGAGAATAATAATATGTGGGCGCGTAGAGAGTTACAACAACAATAAATATTTAGTCTATAAATTACTAACATTAAATATGTATAAGCGATTTAAATGTAAACGTAGAATTACTCATAATAATTGGCTAAGTGGATGATAGAATTAACTGATATGACTCTTCGTTATTTCACATATAAAAGACGGAAAAAATTTACATGATAACTAATTTGTTTGTAAATTATATGAAATATATATTTCTTACAATCTACCTTTTATTAATCGTCCAAAATATCCATAATTTTTATAAGAAAATAAATAATCATATTTGAATCCTATATAACTTACAATAAATAGATTTTTGGCTTTCTAAAGATAATCAGCGCTCCTAATGGTCTATCCATTTCGGTCATATTTTTGTGTAGATTGCAAAAGAAGTGTTAAACCTAAATAGGACGCTATACGGGCAAGCGAAAAAACGATATGACCGAGGGAATTCGCTTTTAGATGTTTTACAACCGAACTCTTCAATCACCTTCTGTCAATCATTCTAAATAGCATATACGCACCTGTACGGCCGCCCAATATTATTTTGGAACATCATATTATACTACTGAAAAAAAGTTTTTTTATATCTTTATATGGAACCATCTACGACACAATCATCTATACAGTAATCTGTTAGTTTTTAGTGAGACCGGTTTTGCCTTGCAAATAGTTGGTATAGAGGTAAAAAAAAATCAAACAATTTTAAAATTATTTTCTATTTCTTTTTGTGTGATTTTGATATTTTTTTGGGCTCTTTTATATCCTTTTAGGAAAATGAAGATCTTCAATCTCCGAAAGTATACAATCCATATAAATGTACTAAAATATTAGTGACTGTGTTATCGTGAAGCCAAAATTATTTTGTAAATTTTAGTTTTAAAGAATTTATATGTAATTTTATAATTAGTAAGAAAGTAGAATTGTACTGGCAAGTACTTTAATTATTATACTAGAAAGTATTATAGTATTAATATTTTAATGATTATTTAATGAACAATGTAAATATAAAAAGGGATTTGACCATCTTCACGGTGGTCAGTGTTCAATCAATGAATGTTACATTACAATTAGTTTTTATTTTAACTCTTCCTGACAACACTTATCCGCGTAGTCAAATTGGATTTAGAACACTCAGTTTACCACAGTGCAACGCGTGTTTCACTAAGTACACAAAACGTAGTAAAGTTTAAATATCAAAGTATATGGTAGTAACTTCTATGGCAACGAGATCGATTGAAAAGATATTCTTAGATATAGTAAGTCCATTAGAAACTTCTCACAGGGGTAATACCTACATCTTAACTATACAAGACGATTTGACTAAATTTGCAGCAGCAGTCGCTTTACCTAACCATATAGCAATCACTATTGCTCAAGCTTGCATTGAACAGTTCATCTGTCAACATAGCATTTCCGAGTCGATTGTAACTGATCAAGGTAGGGACTTCACGAGCAAAATGTTTACAGCTTGCTGTAAGTTGTTGCAAATCGAAAAGATCAATACAACGGCGTACCATCCACAATCGAATGGGACCTTAGAGAGATCACATCGAACTCTCTCTGAATATCTTCGTCACTACGTCATTGAAAAGAAACAAAATTGGGACGAATATATAACTATGTTCGTTTATAAAAGTACGACACACACAGCCACGGGTTTCCAACCACATGAGCTATTATATAGTTATCCAGTCGAAGTTCCGCATTCACTAAACCGGGTGCGACAACCAATCTACAATTATAATGATTTTACATGTGAGCTACGTAGAAAATTACAAGTCTCATTCTATATTGGTTCATGTAAACGAACTAAAGCTGTTTCACACATCTTAGTTTGACAATATATTTTAATAATAGTATTGTAAATAATATCAAACCAAATAAATCTAAATCAAATAATTAATCAGTATGAAATCCAAAATTTGATTAATATTAAAACTCCTCAATACAAGGATTATTACACCCTATTATCAAGAATACAAAATCGTTGATAGAACAAATAAAAACAATAAAGTCTCATTTACCTCTAGACGTAATCATCCCTAAATAGTTGGTTAGTATCTGGGGTATCAGAACTATTGCACTTGATAAATATAAATGTAGTATATATTCAAAATACCTTAATTTTTCAGTTGAAAATTCCTTCAACTTATAAGTATGAATTCACTTTGTATAAATCAATCGCATTACCGTCAAAAACTCATGATAATATATTTGTTATAATACATTATCACATGGATTACATAGCAATAGAAAAATCTAGATTGTATTATATAGAATTAAATATAGAAAAATTAAACTCATGTAAATATATAGCTGAAACAATATATCCTTATGATCAACCTATTTTTAGTATAGATAATTCATCTCATGCAAGATTATTTAGACAACCAGATGTTTTACCCAAAGATTGTATTTTGAAGTATGTAAAAATTAATTATAACATTTGGCATAAATTAGAACATGTAAATTCATGTCTATACGTAGTAGTGATGGAAATTTTCGTTCCTTTAGTGGAATCGTTCCTTTTGGTACAGTTATTTAAAAGTAACGATTCCAAAGCACTCTCGGTACACCGATACTTTTACTTTTTTGTAATTGAGTACCTTCATTGCAATCGTTACCAAAACCAAACCAGTATTTATTAATCATATAAACAGTTGAATCTACGCAGGACGTTAGTAGGTACAGTATCAATAATAAATCAATAAATACGTCTACGTTATTTACTCATCAGGTAATATTTTAAAAGGCGCGAATGCTTTTCGGAAAATGTTTAGATAAGAATTTTTTTTTTAACAGTAATAATACAGACATATTGATAGGTGTAATATTAAATTTGAATAATAAAAATAGATACCTTATTAATATTATACTCCGACCACAAGAAATAATTTTTTTGTGTTAAAATAATTTTACCACTAAAATGTTACCAAAATGTAGAAAATAATATAATTGCCAAAACATTGCAAATTATCTATGTTAGTATAAATGTATGAAGTTATTTCAACGATAATTGTGTACCATTGGGGTAAATACTACATACATATTTTATAATTAACGCCTGCATGTAAAACTATTCTGATTACAACATATAATTAAACTACACACTTAATAATTATAACAAAAATTGTAAAAGAGCTATTTCAAACATACAATCTTTATGTCTAATTTTTTAGTATCATTTGAATTCTTAAAGAATGTGTTCCCAACTGCTGCAGTGGCTCCTTAAAACTTAACAACAAAGTAGAAAATAATAATGAATAATCATAAGAGTCCGTCTGAATTATCATCATGACCTTTAAGGGGGATTTTTAATGTTTTTTTACGTCTACAACTGGGTATTTTATGTACGATGGGCGATTGAGAGTTATAATAATGTAATGACACATCTTCATCGAATCGTATAGTGTGATGACGCATATTCACATCGGTTGAATCGTTGTCTTTTAGTAGATTCTAATAGCTGTGATGTTGTCGCTGTGAATTTAAATATTATTTTTATATTTTTCATTCTCGAGTCACGTAATAAAAAGAAAAACCATATTTACTAGATTTACTATCCTATAGGTTTTTATTTCCTGAAATCCTAACAGGTATTTTTGAAGCCCGTTGCGGTTTGTTTACTTGTCTAGACAATTTAGATGAGACGTGTTGTGATGATGAAGCTGACATTTCAGCAGCTTTAAAACAAATATGACCAGAAGCACCAATATCCAATGAAAATTTTTCATTATTTGGTGACACGAGGGGTACAACTTGCAATAATGTGCAGCGTTCGGGATAAAGTTGGTCTAGCTTATCTGTTATTACCTTAGATATTTCAGAGAACAGTCTCTTCGATAAAGTGGCCATGTTTAAAACATGGTTTTATCAGGTTTGAAATCGATGTTAATGGTGATGGTTGAACGATGTTTTCACCATTAGGTCGTCTGAATATATGTGTCGGCCTATTTTCTTTTTTGTCACTATGTGATCCTTTGGAGCTGGAACGGAGAGTTAGTCTAGTCTCTTTCTTACGCCTAGCCTACATAATTATACAATTTACATAGTTACCCGTTGTAAAGCATTGTGCTTATCAATTTTTATATTTGAACAAGTCATAAAATTACTTACATGTGACTCAAAATAGTCAACAAGCTGTTTGACGTGATCTGCTTGGATTTGATGGTCCATGTCTGTAAGAGCTGTTAAAAGAACATTCAAAAAAATTATTTGAAATCTTAATCACACAATGTATTGTAAGTAATGTACAAAACTTTAATTATACAATAAATAAATTAATAAGATACTATAATAATAATATACAAAAATTATTATTTTAAGCCAATATTTGATTGACAAAAATATTATATTATCGAGAGAAAATCATACATTAAATTTTAGCATTTGAAGTTTACTTAGAAGTAATAAATTAGTGATTTATTATTTTGAGTAAATATTTATATTATCTTTTTATCACTATGCTTTTACATAATAATTATGAATAATTTAAAATTATTATAAAAATAAATATTTATTTTAGGCAGTTTTTATTTTAATTCTATATTAACCATAAAATGTTTATAAAAAAAGGCGTGAAGTTTTGATTTTTCAATTCTACCTACGTATTTTATATAACGATAGTTATATTAACACAAATTATGTGATCTTAAAAAACAAAGAAATGTATATATTTTGTAAATATTATTACCATTAAGAGAAATATATAATTTTAATTATTATCATAAAATTATCTTGAAAAAATATATAAATAAGTTTATAATTTAAAACAGCTCTTATAAAGGTTTTTAAAACGAGCATTATTTTTACTAACTAATAAGTTAGTTAAAAAAAGTTTGCACGGAACAGAAGTTGAAGGAACACATAATCTAAACAATAAAAGATCAAATAAGTCAGGATACATCATATTCCTCACATTCCACCATAACAAAGGATCCAACTTTTTTTTTATTATAGGCTCATTTAAATACCTATTTAGCTCAATAATTTCTTCAATAGTAGGAGTTTTTTTTTTTATGAAGTTATCACCTTAAAAAATTTAAATAATTGATTAAATTACACAATAAATAAATAAACTATTTTGTTGTTATACCTGAGAGTCAAACTGTTTTTAACTGTTGATAAAAAACTGATGAAACGAAACTAATACCAAATTTTCTTTTCTTTTCAATATCTCATAATATTCAAAAAACGCAACTTCATTAAAAACTTACACAAAATCAAAGCAAATTTAATGTACTTTAAAATGATAAATATCCAAAAACTTAATTTCTAGGTGTTCGCACCAAGCGTGAGAGCTGCACTAGTAGTGTTTGGCTGTATGCATGTGGTCAGCTGATGGTTCTTGTGCGCCATCAGCTGTTAGGATCCCTTATCAGCGGTCTGTATTACTCGGTCGTTTTTTATTCAAATAAAATATATGTACTTGTTGTAAAAATATATAGGTTAAGTTAAGTTGGTTTTTGTTTTTTTGTATGAATTAGTAAAAACTTTGTTCAAGTTTCTTTTAAAATACACTGTTTATATTATTATTGTAAATTTATATAGTTGTATTCTGTTTTTTTTCATTGGTTAGAACATTATTATAATACTACCTCCAGTTAGCATATCATTTTTATAAATTGTAGTTCATTTTATTCAATTGGTTCAAGCACCTTTGCAGAACTGAATGTAAGTAATATAGGTGGTTATATTTTTTGATTATTTAATTCAGTAATAAAAGATTAGGTTGTTCGTATTTGATTATTTAGTTGTATTTATTAAACTGAACAAGCTTATTTTGTGTTAACAAAAAATATTTTTCTTTGGCAAATTTAAATTAATTAGAAAATTTTTATTTTAATTTCCCCTATTAAGCCGTATGGCGGAGTTTCATTCTTAAATAAATCCCTTATTTAGGTTGATTTTTTTAAAACAGCCCCAGCGGCAACACTAGGAAATATTGGACATTAAAGTCAAAAATCATACAATTTCCAGTAACAATTACCGATTTTGTAGTATTTTGTATAGCAACTCAACATCTACATTCTCATTCAAAACAAAATTAAATTATAAATTATTTAATGTACTATACAGAATGTAATTTTTAGTGGTTATAATAATTCGATGTACTACCTATTTGAACAATGCTTGGATCAAAATAAAATTTCTATTTTTAAAAATCCTATCATAAATCAAAATACTTGGAAGGGGCAAAATCATTATAACATTTTTTTTGTAAAATACGCACCGATGCGTTTTACTTATGACAGAGAGTTCAATAAGTAATACTATCAATCAATACTAATTTTAAAATCTCTCGATTAAAAAATACTGCACTTAACTTTTATTTTTCATTTTTAGCATTATATAAATAGTTAACTATTAGCACCTCGCTAAAAGTGCCTAAAAAAAATTGGCCAGGGGCGTCAAAGTCTAAATTCAGCTCTGATTTATACATGTTGTATCTTATACACTCAATTAACAAAGGCCATAAAAGGGGCTTAGCTTATAAAAAAGAAAACCAAAGACAATTTTTTGATATGAGTAATCACATTTTAACTAGTGATGGGCAAAGGCGTAAAGCATTTGAGTAAATGTATTTGAATAAAAGTATTCAAATACTTTCATTGGTATTGAATAGTATTTTTAAATACATTTAATAAAAAGTATCTGAGTAGTATTTTAAATACAATTATTTAGTATTTAATACTGTTTAATATTCAGTACTATTAATATACTTTTTTTTTTTTTAATTTGTTAACCGTATCACAGCAAGCAAATTAAACTCAGTCAAAATGAAAATTGAGAATAATTCTCTGTTATTTTATATGTTACATTATAGTATAACATAATTATTGTGCTTATCTAAATGCTATTATGTATACATCTATTTTTAATACATCAGTTGAACCTACAATAGCCTATTGCAGGTTCAAATGATTTACTCTATTGTCAATAAGACATACTTTACAGGTTTTTACACGTGTACTAATATTTATTTTTTTCACTGATTAGTCTCCAATAATTAATTTTATTTACCTCTAACAAAAAATATCGAAAATAATAAATGAGTTCTCTTAATTTAAGAGTACTCAATATTTGACTCAAATTACCCTCTTGGTAATTATTTAGGTGGAACCTTTTGCTCTTAGTTAAAATAAAAACATTATTATTATTTTTTAATTGTATTCTTAGTATTTGAAATACTTTTGTAAAGTAATTGAGTATTACTCAAATACTTTTGTATGAAAAGTATTCAAATAGTATTTTAAATACATTTTTTTTTAAATATTTGAGTATTATTTAAAATACTTTTTAAAAGTATTTTTTACAACTATGGTGATGGGCATAATCAAGAAATAGATTATGAGTAAAATAATCGTAATTTCGTAATTGAATTAGTATATTTTAAATTTCAATAATAGTATACATACATTATACATTAGTACGTAGTATTATTAAAACATCTTATACATATTTCTTTACTTATACTTAATTGAATAATTTGGTTATAAGTTATAAATGTATTTAATGTAATCGAAACATACTCAAAATCATTAATGATAATCGATTACTATTATCAAAAGAATAAACGATTTTAATTTCGAGTAAAATTTCAAGAGATTCTCTGGATTACTAATAATTCAATTATGCCCATCACTAATTTTAAATATGTGGACGTATACTATTAGCAGTTTTAAAATTGGAGGTCTAGTAACCGTTTTTTTTTAAGATTATTAAAAAACCAAGAAATAGCGTTAGTTTTCCATTACAGTAAGAAGAGGGCGGCATAGTCAATGGTTTACCAAATAGACAGTAACTGTAGGTCGTAGTTACACAATCCCGAACAAGCAAGAACTACTCAAATACTCAGGTCACTACTGTAATCATTTAGGGATCAACTGTATTTTGTATCGACGGAACGATAGTGTAACAACCAAGTGTAATCGGTCCTACTTGTTCCACCAATGTACTCGTTACTTTGGACCGATTACACGAGTACGTAGTTAATAAAGGTAATATAGTTATTAAGTGCAGTCAAATTATTCAACCAGTAACGTTAAGTATACCAGGAACGGGTATTTTAAGTTTAAAAAATAACTGTGGGGCTAAGACTGATGACAAAACAATTTTAATACCTTCAAGTAATATTACTTCAAAAATGTATAAAGACTTTTGCCCAGCTTTTAATTTAAGCATGAATTCTGACATACAAACTAAATTTAAAAAACTAAGATTAGAAGATATTATTAATTTTAATGATAACGTAAAAGATAATTTAATTTGCCTTTCTAAGTATTCTAAAACGTTAAATGATCTACAATTAGAAAAAGAAATACCATACCAAAAATGTCCATGAATGGAACCTCATACTTCTTTATTATTAATTTTATTTATCAGTGTAAGTTTAGTGATCATAGTTGTAGTATATAAAAAAGGATAAATGGTAAATTAAAATTACTTAAGGCAGTATTAAAAGAAGAGAATGTACAAAAAACAGAGTACTCAGAGTAGTTTAGTTTATATTCAGTAAAATAAAAATAAAATGGGTAATATGTTTTCATTCTATGCGGGGGGTATTATTAAAATATAATGTAAAGGAATGTAAAAAATAAATAATATTTTATCAGAAAACTAATTAATACAGCCATTCTCGTTAGCATAGTTGATTATCTTAAAAAAACCTTTTCGAGTAGCTTCATAAATGGTATTTATACTCCATGGACAATTATGTTCATGGGCGTATTTTAAACAACGAAACTGACCATTTGCAGCAGCAAGCCTTGTGGTGCCTTCATCCCATTTACATCCATTTTCGTGGGCATATATTAAAAAATCTAAATTTCCACGCATGGCAGCTGTAACGATTGTACCTTCATCCCAATTACATCTATTTTTATGAGCAAATTTCAGACAGTCAAAGCAACCACTTGCAGCAGCTTCCCTTGTTGTACCCTCATCCCATTGACAACCATTTTCATAGGCATATTTGATGCATTCTAGATGTCGATTTGCAGCAGTGCCTCTCATCGTACCTTCGTTCCAATTATATCCAAGTTCATATGTATATTTTAGACATTCTAAATTACCATGCGCGGCAGCCGTATTTAATGTTTCTTCATACCATGGACACTCCTTTTCATGAGCATACTTTAAACATTCTAAACAACCACTTGCTGCAGAAACTCTAGTTGTGTCATAATCCCATGGACATCCATTTTCATATGCATATTTTAAACAATCAAAATAACCATTAAAAGCAGCAGCTTTAATTGTGCCATTGGCCCATTTGCAACCCTTTTCATGAGCATATTTTAAGAATTCTAAATTACCATAAATGGCAGCAGTTTGTGTTGTTTCTTCATCACAAGAACATCCATTTTCAAGTAGATATTTAAAAATTATTAAATTACCATTCATTACTGCTGTAACTATTGTACCTTCATCCCATTTGCAACCGTTTTCATGAGCATATTTTAAAAATTCTAAATTACCAAAACTTGCAGCTGCTATTGTTGTTCTTTCAGGCCATGAAAATCCGTTATCATGTGCATATTTCAAAATTTCAAAATAACCTTTTTCGATAGCCACAGTAGTTATCCTATTATCTAATGGACATCCATTTTCGTGAGCAAATTTTAAACAATTTATGTTTCCTCCTATAGCAGCATAACTAGTTATGTCTTTATTCCAGTGGCATCCATTTTCATGTGCATATTTTAAACATTCGAAATGTCCATTTGCAGCGGCCTCAATAGTTATGACATCATCTAATGGACATCCATTTTCATGTGCATATCGTAAGCATTCTAAACGCCCATATCTTGCAGCTGCTTTCGTTATGCTTGCATCCCATGAACATCCGTTTTCATGTGCATATTTTAAACAATCTAAATTTCCTCCTATAACAGCATATCTAGATATGTTTTTATCCCAGTGGCATCCATTTTCATGTGCATATTTTAAACATTCATAATGTCCATATAAAGCAGCAACTTTTGTTGCTTTTTTATTCCATTTACAGCCATTTTTATGAATATATTTTAAGTTTTCTAAATTACCATAAAAAGCGGCTGCTATTATTGTAACTTCATCCCACGGGCATTCCTTTTCATGTGCATATTTTAAACATTCGAAATGTCCATTTGCAGCAGCTTCTGTAGTCGTGTATTCATCCCATTCACAACCACTCTCGTAAGCTAGTTTTAATGTTTCTAGGTCACCAATTTTAGCAGCTTTTTTGTGGTACCTTTTTCAAACGGGCATTTTTTTTTTTCACCCAAATATTTATTTTCAATACCTAAATGAGCACGTTAATTAAATTTTTTTTGTTGTATTCAAATTTAATTAGATCACTTAAAATTATGTAACTAAATATATAAGATGCCTGAATTTTATTCCTTCTCTATTTTCTTTAGTTATAAATACTTTGTTTGAATATATTGGTAAAAAACAAAGAATTTGATTTTGAAAAATATATTGAAATTAAAACATTTTTGTAATTAAAATTAAAAAAATACTCTTAATATAACATTATTTTAAATATTGAGGTGACCTATTAAAATAATTTATGATAGTAGAATTATCTAGTATAATATAAGAATTTTTTTTGCATATAACAAATTAGTTTTATTCATTTAATTACTTTTCAATACACAACAAAATACTTTTCCCATCCAAACTCAACCCACGTACTATCGCCACCAACGCTGTTAACTTTTTAACCCCCGAGGATCATGCTGGACACCTCATCGCCGATGCCAGCGATAGTGCCACAATATTATGCGAAGATTATTATTAATTGTGTTCGTTTTTCGGTTTTTATGTATTAAATAACCTGTTCTTCCTTACTAATACACAGCCCACGGGTTTCTACCCTCAAGTATCGAGTATCGACTATATTAATGCGATGTAAGTCGTGTCAACTTTATAATTCATTTTAACATTATCTTTATTAAAGTTATTTTTTCAGTCTTTACCACGCATTAATGATCAATTTTTTAATTTAGTGGTGTTTCAACAAATAATTTATTGATAGTTTTTTAAATTTTAACTAATCTATGATTATTATATTACAATAATTATTGAAATATTTTATGACCATAATATGTTAAGATAGCCCAATATACTGTTTTTAGATAATTTAACACCTGTTAAAATTATTGAGTAATTAAAAATCTCATAAAAATTTAAAAATCGAGTAATGACGCTCATCTTATTATGTCAGCCTTTAATTTGATAAAAAAATAGAGAAATGTAAACTATTGCATCAAATATAAAGTTTTTAAACATTATAAAAAATTTGATTTATGGAAAGTTTTTTTCTTATGGAGGGCTTATTACCCTCGTATGCGGGTAAGTCCATTTAATAGTTTTTGAAAATATTTCACATATTAGATATAAGCTAAGAAATTTATTTGATAAACAACTAATAGACATAAATAATATAAAATCAAATTTACCTTCGTTAAATATCAAACATGAAATTATCATGAAAAAATATATCAATTGCCAGTTCTAGAATAAAATAAAATTATAGATACTTATAAAGTACATCATATTAAGAGAATTACTCACCTCAATTTTATACCTCATAATTTTACTTAAATATTATATTCTGAATAACTAATGGCAATTTTTTATTTAAATAAGTGTATATATAAAAAAATTATCTGACATAATGTGCTATTTTATGATATTCTTTAGTTTAAAAACATATTTACTTAACTATTTTAGTCAATCTGTTCATATACATTTAAAAAAAACTAAGGGAAATCAGGATTTATATAAACACATTCTTAATTTAATAAAATATAGTGATCTAATGTCAATTAGATTTATATAACATTCATGAAAATCAGTGTACCGGGTACACTGTACCCCCTTATAAGGTATTTTAAAATAAATTAAAATACAATACCAAGAATTTTTTCACATAATAATAGCGTGTTTTTTAACTACGACAACCATTTGCACATAGAAGATAAGTCGTGGGGACAATTTTTTTTTTTTTAACTTGTAGTACATAACATTAGCTTTATTTTAATATATTTTTAAATCTTGGAGTATTTTCGAAACATTTTCAAAATTTAAGTTAAAAATGTTAAATTTTTGTGTAAAAGTTGCTATTTTGAATGCCCCCTGTGGGCAGGTAAAAAGTCAGATTTGCAAAAAATGTATATCAAATAAAAGGAAAATATCAAAGATTTCAATATAAAAAATAATTATTTTGATTAGTTCATTTTTCAATAAGTAATGGAAATTTTTAGAAAAAAAAATATCAAAATTTCCGATTCTAAAAATTGTAATTTTTGAGGGGATTTGCATTATTTACAGGTAAATCCTGCAATTAGGAATGCTTTTGACTGTGTTTCTTCTAAAATATGAGAAATTATTCTTCAAAAAATTATNAAATTTTTAGAAAAAAAAAATATCAAAATTTCCGATTCTAAAAATTGTAATTTTTGAGGGGATTTGCACTATTTACAGGTAAATCCTGCAATTAGGAATGCTTTTGACTGTGTTTCTTCTAAAATATGAGAAATTATTCTTCAAAAAATTATTATGTCAACATTATTTAATGAAGAGTTATATTAAAAATCGATGAATACAATAATTTTATGAATCTAAGCTTTTCTTGTAGTATATTTTTTTCTTGTATAACAATAACAAAAAATAAATTAAAATTTACTGCACTAATAAATAAACTTTGGTCTTTAGTTCCTAGCGCATATTTAATAACAAAAAGCCGAATATTCTTGTTGTAAGGTCAAAATAAATGAATAGATCATAAATAAATGTATTTGCTTATTCTTTTCTGTACATTTCAGAAGTATTAGAAAGTCATTTAATTACAAGAAAACTTTGACTAATGTAATACAAAAATAAAGATATAAATAGGTGTATGTGTGTGTTGTGTATATTGACCAAGTTTGGGTATGTTTAAATATTTATTAAAGTTATTTATTTAAAAACAATCATGTTATTTTAAGCATATGAATATAATTTATAAATAAGTGTTTATAATCTTAAATGAAAAACTATTATTGCGGACACAAGTAGCCCACTGTTATTTTAAATTATAATAGTTTCAATAAAGAAACACAATCCTTTAATAAGCTCTAGCAATATAATTTATGATAAGTGGGTATAATTCGTATGAGGAGCAAATACAGCATGATATGTACGAAGAGTAAATTAAGGTTTGATAAATTAAGAAAGAAACCTTATGTACTTCAGACAATTAAAATTTCGCATTTAGACACTACCATGAAAGTTATTTAAATTTATTTATTATTATAAATTTTAAAATATTAGCTTCCATGCGAGACTGAGAAGGTATTAATTTTACTATGATATGTTTTTTATTTTTATTTTTTTGTGCATGTGACTGTTCAATCTCAGCTCTCGCTGGACCGATTTTGATAAACAATACTGCCCTACATTAATAATGCATCAATTTTTTATACATTAATTCAAATTTCAAAAAAATTGTATTATCATGGTTCAATAAACAAATATTCTTGTAACAATTAATTGAATAAACAATAAATATATCATACTGAACTTTGACAATCAGCATAAAAATTTGGTTTGGTAAAGTATAAATTGGTCTATAATTATTGAAAAATATTTTATTTTACTAATTTGATTTTACTATGTAAGTCAGTATGAAAATAAATTTTATACTCCTATTTATTTTGAGATATTTTTTTTGATATAGTCATTTTTACAAAAGCGTATATTCGTTGAATATTTTAAATAGTTGAATATTAAAAAAAATTCAAAAAGAGTTATTTCGACTGGCGGGGTTCGAACTTCGTGTATGCTTGAATAAAAAGATCTATTTAAACTAAATTAAAAATTCAGTCACTTAATTGAGATGGAAAAATAATCAAAATAAGTTTAAATTTATATTTAATGTAAGTTAGATTCATGTTACTTTTATAAAAATTGGTGGACTCATTACTATGGTTAACCCTTATAAAGTATTTTAAAATAATCAAAAAAATTTGAACACAAAAGTAGCATGTTTTAAATACGGCAGACATTTGCACGTAAAAGATTAACATTTTTTTTCTAATTTATGGTATGTAAACTAAGCTTTAATTTAACATATGTTTAAAGGACGCAGTTTTTCTGGAACATTTTCAAAAGTTAAATTGAAAAAGTTGAATTTTATAAAAAAATTTGCTATTTGGATCCCCTCTTGAGGGCAGGTAAAAGGTCAGATATTCAAAAATATTATATAAAATAAGGGTAATTACTTGAGGTTTCAATATAAAAATAAGTTATATTGATTTGTTAATTTTTGAACAAATTATGGTAGTTTTAAGAAAAATAAGTGAAAAAAATGTCGAAAATAACTGATTTTTAAAATTGTAATTCTTTTGGAGATTTCCCCCATTTACAGGGAACAAGGGAAATTTTTTCAATTTTTAAGGTTAATGTCTTCAACTAGATACGATTTGTGATATTTTGATGTATGATTAAAAGAAATCGAAGCTAAAAATAATTATGTTTGCATTAACAAGATAATTGTTTAAAAAAGTACATATTGTGAATAAAATTTTAGAGTTATACATTGTAGTAATAAAATTAAAAATTAAAGAAACAATCATGGTGTAAAATTATGTATTTTAATTTCTTCTTCGTTACTTTCGTCGACATTGAATATTGTTTTATACTCTTTATTTATGTTAGTAACGAAAATGTCTATAAATTCGATTAGTTGATCATCTGTGAGTACATATTTTGTTGGAGGAAAATATTTTTTGCCTACTATGTTTTCACTTATTATAGTATTGAATATTTTCCAATAGTCTAGGAATTTTAACATTTTTTCACCTTTAAAATAATTATTTATTATTTGTATAATATGATCTAAAACATCGCAAACGAATTTAGAATCTGGAAAAAAATATGGTTCTTTAGGATAATTTTTGTAATTTTTGAAATCTTCTAAGCTATTTCTGATTTTTTCTAGGCTTTCATTTTCTAAATGGTTAAGCTTAAAAAAACCACACATAGTATATATTGTGGTACTAAATATTACTAGAAGTTTATCATATATCATACGTGCAACTGCCATTTTACTATAATAGGTCAATACATATACATATTTCAATGATCGGTTCACCATGGCCTTTTTATAGTAAGGGTAACGCTCATTTGAACTACCTTCCAAAAAGATACTTTTTCTTAATCGGTGAGCATGCCAATACGTCATATAAAATATTAGTTCGGTTCCTTCCATACATTTGGTTACTGTTACTAATTCATTATCCAAATATTGTAAGTTTACAACTTCATATAATTGAATTTGACCAATGTAAAACATTAGTAAAAAAATTGATGATAAAAATAAAGTTGAAATGTTCATAATTATATCGATATTTGTGTCACAATTTTAATGCTTGTGATTACTTTGATTGTACTAAAAATTTTGTAAAAAAAGTTGGATTTAATATTTTAAAGTTTTTTTTGTTGACGCATGTACTATAAACAGAGTGATTTTTTTATCATAACCCACTCAAATACTTACAGAATACTAATAATTTAAACATTTTTTTTTTTTGATTATCTTTAGTTACACATTATTCTTGAATTATTAACTATGTAATACTTTTTAAGTTCATCCCTTATGCCTAATAAGGGTGTCAACTTTGTTTTTTTTAATGGGAACACATATTTTGAGTTTAATAAAATGTTTGAGTTTTTAATTAATAGCAAATGGTATTTGAACTTTTAGTATAACTTTATTTGTTTATTAGATATAAAATCAATTAGCTACCTGTATTTGTAATACCTTGTGTATTATACATGTATATTAACTCAAAAATTTGAAACTTTAAATGTTTATATCTAATAAACAAATAAAGTTATACTAAAAGGTCAAATGCCATTTGCTATTAAATTAAAAACTCAAACACTTTATTAAATTTAAAATATTTGTTCCCATTAAAAAAAACAAAGTTGACACTCTTATCAGGCATAAGGGATGATCTTAAAAAGTATTACATAGTTAATAATTCAAGAATAATGTGTAACTAAAGATAATCAAAAAAAAAAAAATGTTTAAATTATTAGTATTCTGTAAGTATTTGAGTGGGTTATGATAAAAAAATCACTCTGTATATATTAATATTTTTATATGTGTATATGTTAATATTCATTTATATATTCCTACAGCCGACGCCGCCGTATATGCCTCGTGTATAACGTCCACAACACACGGCTATACCTCGTGCATGATACGTTTACGTACTTAAGTCGCTTTACTTGTATATATATATATATATATTCTTATTACTATTAAAACTTATATATTAATACGCTTTATTCTCATTAAGAGATATATAGTGTATTCATTCCGATTACGGGGGATGATTTCCGTATCGTCATTTTTCGTCACTACCTCCACGTTGCGCGCCGCTGCTTTTCTTGGATGTGGTAGCCGTTTCTCAGACTTCCACTCCGGAATCGAACCCTGATTCCCCTTTACCCGTTACAACCTTGATATTGATAGTAACTACTATCATAACATATAACTAAAAAGTAAAAAATAAATATAGTTTAAAAAAACTAAAAAACAC